CCGCCCCGCGGGCGAGGAGGATGGCGCCGACCCCATGGCGCTGAGCGGCCGGGACGAGCCTCGGAGGGAGCGGGGAGCCCAACGGGCTTTGGCGGGGCAGGTCTTGGGTGCCCGGCCAGCGGCAGCGCCCTGTCGGGACTAGGGGCGAGGGCTGGTCCTGCTCCGGAATTGTTCCAGCGGGAGCGCAGGGGCTCTTACACCCCGCTTTGATTCCTGCTTCATCCACACTTTAAGACAGGGGGAGGCCGCATGTCCAGTCAGGCCGCGCTGACTTCTGTTCTGGAATCGCAGCATCCTACAAAGTGAGGCTTGGAAGAGACCTCAGGGCCGCATCTATTAACCCCCTGCTCCAACCAGGCCCACCCCAACCAGATCATCCCAGCCAAGGCTTTGTCTGGCTGGGTCCTAGCAGCTTCTAAGGATGGAGATTCCAGCACCTCCTCTCCGGGTAACCTGCTCCAGTGTTTTACTACCCTCCTAGCGAGAGAGGGGTTTTTTCTGACTACCTAACCTGAACTTCCCTTGCTGCAGCTTGAGACTGCTGCTCCTTGTTCTGTCATCTGCCACCACTGAGAACGGCCCAGCTCCGTCCTCTTTCAACCCCCCTTTCTGGTAGTTGAAGGCTGCTATTAAATCCCCTCTCAGTCTTCTCTTCGCCAGACTAAATAAGGGCAGCTCCCTCAGCCTCTCCCCATAAATCGTGTTCCCCAGCTCCCTCATCATTAGCATCTACCTGATCCTTTCTAAACTCTTCACTTCACAGGTGTTAACTGCCCTCTCTTCTTTTTTAATATTCCACTAATTAAACTATTATTTCTTCTGCACTTCTGCTGTCTGTTTGCTGCTCCTAGTAATGTAGCTCCCACCCGCAGATTGTTTTTAACTCTAGCTAAGAACCGTGGACTGGTGTGGAAACATTAACTCAGGCGCACGTAAACTCAGGTGCAGAAATAACTTTCAGTAAAGCCATGGGTGCTCTGTCAATATGCTCAAGAAGGCTTCATTTTGTTTTATGAATCAGAAAGCGATGTCCTTTTAATTCTAATGACTGCAAGGCTAAAGAAATAGCATGTTAGGATTATTTTTCCCTAGTTTGTTGTGTTTTTAATACATAATGCGTGATACGGGAAATTATACACATTCCAATAAAGTTATATTTGTTTTTGCTTCAATCTTAAACTGAATAACAGAGCCCTAGCCCCTAGCATATTAGTAAAGCTGCTAATTCCTTTTTATCTGGAAACTGATACATGTTGTGTTAAATGTAACGAAGCATCACACTATAAGCACTCCCCTTTGCAAAAACCTAGATATGACCACATGCAAGAAGCATGGGCTTTTGGGTGACGTATTTGATTGGACCAACTGCATCGTCATCATCATTATTTTTATTATTATTGCTCTAACACCTAGGAGCACTATTCATGGGCCAGAACTTCAAATCTGTCCTTGTGGTTTACAGCATGCATATGAATTATACATTATTTGCCACTAAATTATAGAAAGAGTAAATGCTTCAGCAAATTATTACTATTATGAATATAAATCAATCAATCTGAAGAGTAAAGATAATCTTTTTTGTCATCCCTTTACTACTTTATTTGCCTGACTGAATCATGACACCAAGTTCATAGGCTTTTTTGGAACTGTGCCATGGAAATGTATCCTTTTTAGTTTAGAATGTCTCTGGCTGCTTTCTCCTGTGTTCTTTAGAGGTAAAAAATTGAATTATTCTGTTATTCTTATTTCTCTTGCTCTTATTGGACTTTTCTGAGTCTCTGGCCTCTCTGATTTTTCAATTTTCTTAAGAATGATTGATCTTTTTATCAAAGACAAGACAGGAGTAGATGGTGGGTTTGCAGAGTCAGTGTCGAAGGCTGAGGATTTTCAAAGGCCCCTGGAAATTAGGCACCTGCCCTCTTGGAGGTCATTGGACGATGGATAGCCAGCTCCCATATGTGTCTTTGACAGTCTCCTTTGCCCATCTCTCACTGATTTTTACATCAAAGACAAATACCTAAATCTTAGTAGGTCTCTTTAGCAGCTGACCTAACGTCCACTGAAGTCAGTGTGATCCAATAGTGCCAATGTACAGTAAAAGCTCCATTATCCAGCATCCCCTGGGAACGGAGGATGCCGGATAACAAAATATGCTGGTTAATTGAGTGGCCCCAGCCGCCGATTCTCACGCCACGTCTAGGGCATCCCCCCGCCCCTCCCATGGCATTGCTGCCGCTCCCATGGGGCCCACATGGCCCTGCGGTACAGGGAGGCAGGTTCTGCGCAGCCTGTTATGCCCCTAGGCCGTGGGGGCTCAGCAGCGCAGGCTGCTTTGCCCTGAGCCATGGGGGCTCAGAGAAACCAGAAGTGCCACGGTGGGCACTTCCAGTTTCATTTTATCTTACAAGCTGGCATGCTGGTTAATGGAGCATGCCGGCTTGTAAGATGCCAGATAACAGAACTTTTACTGTACTTTGTACATGATCCTTATAAGATTCAGTTACTTTAGAAGTGTAGTTTTTTAGTATGTGCTGATATGGATTTTATAGCTTGATATAAGGCTGTACTTTTGTAAGCCTCCCATTCATTTTATCATTCCACTTCTTTCTTGCAAATTTGTCTATTTGTCTTTAGGTTTTTTTTCTACAGGTTTCCCTCACTTTATGCTGTACATGCGTTCCTGGAAAACGGCACATAACTCAAATTTGCATAAAGGGAACCCACTTTACAATGTAACAAATGGGGATACGTTCCAAGACCTTGATTGTATTGTCCCCCAGGCCCATTTTGACCACTTTTACAAAACAATTTTGGTGCTCACCAACAGCAGACAGTACACACAAGCACAGGGCACTGTCATAACGGAGATGGCAACTACAGAAACACATGTCGCATACAACGAGTGAGGAGCGCAGATTCACACAAGAAATTATATTTTGATGCATGTCACTCCCACAATGCACTGCATAAAGCAGCTGACTGCAGGCTTCCACCACACTGATTGCATAGGAGTGAATTTACCTTGCATGTAATGAATTTTTGGTATAAAAAGTGTCATCGCATAAGAGCGAATTTGCACATACAGAACCCACATAAAGCAAGGGAAACCTGTATTTCATTCTGGATAATGGTTTGTTGTTCTTCTAATGCTTGCATTTGTGATGTGAAATCTCAGTGTAGCTATAAAACAACTTGCAGCTGTTTCTTTTGGGTTGTTTCCTTTTTTAAATAAACCTTGGAGGAGAGAATCTCATTCTCTTCCATGAGTTACTTGTTTTAATATGAAACCTAGATTCCTTGCACAAAGGAAGTCATGGCATACTTTTCAGGTATGCTTTTCACTTAGAAGGACACCTGCCTGTTTTTCCATTGAGAAATAGCCCATAGTCTGGGCTGCCTTTGTGGCTTCACATTGACTTGGAGTGGAGTTCAAGCCATGATCCTGCAACTGGCAATAGTTTGACAAAGAAAAAACTTTATTACATCTCCACTTGGGTTCAGGAGTCCACCAATATGCTATAAATCTCAGAACTGAGGCTACAGTGCTCTTTCTCAGGCAGTTGCTAAAGAGATTAAATATTATTTTTGTTGTAGACCTCT